CAATAATATAATATCATATGGTTAGAGATATTTGTATACCTTACCCTTATTTTTTTTAAATTGTCAACACTAGTCAAGGGTCGCAGTCGTGGGTGGTGCAGCAAGCCAGAAACCGAAAACATGGGCCCCACGTAAAGCTGTCGGACGCCAATATCATCAATTCCCATTTGTTTAAACGCCAATAAAACACTAAAAGGGCATAAAAACGGATGCTTTGTTGTATGTTATCTTCTCAGATTTAAATCATCTGTGTTCTCTGTGTCCATTCGATATCTCGTAAAGAAATTAATATTAGTTCAGATCCCTTCGCTTGATCATTCAACCCATTGGGTAAAAGATGAGAGAAGTTATAAGCATTCATATAGGCCAAGCTGGGATTCAGGTTGGAAATTCCTGCTGGGAACTCTACTGTCTTGAACATGAAATCCAACCCGATGGAATGATGCCAAGGTTCTTTCTTTTTCTTCTCCTTTGGTGATCAAAATTTAAAACCCATTTTTAATCTAACAATAAAAGTACCGATTTTGAAGTCCTGGAAAGGAGTAACACTTGTTTGATTACAGTGACACCTCTGTGGGTGTGGCACATGATGCTTTCAACACTTTCTTCAGCGAAACGGGCTCAGGGAAACATGTGCCTAGAGCCGTGTTTGTGGATCTGGAACCCACTGTGATCGATGAAGTTAGGACTGGTCATTACCGCCAGCTTTTCCACCCTGAACAGCTTATTTCCGGCAAGGAAGATGCTGCCAACAACTTTGCCAGAGGCCACTATACAAGTACTAAACACCGTCTCAATCTATGTGCCTAGCAGCTGCTGTTGGTGTCTTTAACTTTTTGGTTGGTTTAAACTGTGGTGCTTGTGTTTTGCAGTTGGCAAGGAAATTGTCGATCTCTGCCTTGACCGTGTCCGGAAGTTAGCCGATAATTGCACCGGTTTACAAGGGTTTCTGGTGTTTAATGCTGTTGGTGGTGGGACTGGTTCTGGCCTAGGGTCTTTGTTGTTAGAGCGCTTATCAGTAGATTATGGAAAGAAGTCGAAGCTCGGGTTTACCATCTATCCTTCACCTCAGGTGACTTAATGGATGATGTTTTGCCATTGAAACTTTTTTGTAATAGCAATTTTTGATATCGAGAATGTTTATTTGTTGAACTTGCAGGTCTCGACGGCGGTTGTGGAGCCTTACAACAGTGTTCTGTCCACTCACTCCCTTCTCGAGCACACAGATGTGGCTGTGCTCTTGGACAATGAAGCAATTTATGACATATGCCGCAGGTCGCTTGATATCGAGCGGCCAACTTATACCAACTTGAACCGTTTGATATCTCAAATCATATCATCCTTGACGACTTCCTTAAGGTTCGATGGAGCCATTAACGTGGATGTTACCGAGTTCCAAACCAATCTGGTTCCCTATCCTCGTATCCATTTCATGCTCTCTTCGTATGCACCTGTTATCTCGGCGGCGAAAGCATACCATGAGCAATTATCAGTTCCTGAGATCACTAATGATGTGTTTGAGCCCTCCAGCATGATGGCAAAGTGTGATCCTAGGCATGGGAAGTACATGGCATGCTGCCTTATGTATCGAGGAGATGTTGTCCCCAAGGATGTTAATGCTGCTGTTGCTACTATCAAAACGAAGAGGACAGTGCAGTTTGTTGACTGGTAAGAAAATTTCGTATCAGTTCACTAGCTAGTCAATTTTGTTTGGTAGTGTTCTGATATGAGTGCTTTAGGATTGGTTTATCTGAACCAGAATTTTGTTTTTTGAAGTTTTTTAATGCAACCTCATATGCTTTAGGATTGGGTTATTAGTGCAAGCATATCTAAAATGCGTTTTGGTTGGCTGTACAGGTGCCCAACAGGCTTCAAATGTGGCATTAACTATCAGCCCCCAACAGTTGTACCTGGAGGCGATCTTGCTAAGGTGCAGCGAGCTGTTTGCATGATAAGCAATAATACAGCAGTGGCCGAGGTGTTTGCACGAATTGATCACAAGTTCGATCTCATGTACGCAAAGAGGGCGTTCGTGCATTGGTATGTTGGTGAGGGCATGGAAGAAGGTGAGTTCTCCGAAGCCCGTGAGGATTTGGCTGCACTTGAAAAAGATTATGAAGAAGTCGGTGCTGAAGGTGTTGATGATGAAGAGGATGGTGAAGACTATTGATGTTCTTATGTAAAGATCTTTACTTTGAAGATCGGTTCAGTGTCCGAGGGTACTCCTACCTCCCTTTCCCGTGCTCTTTCGTATCGATTTATCTTGTGCAGCGCTGCCTTGCTGTGTGTCAAATGTTATTTTGTTGAATGTTGTCTTCTTTGTTATCAAGGATTTGCCTGTGGCGTTCTGTATGCTACCAATGAAGTAATATTAAAGTTGCGTTAACTGTTAAATGTTATTTTGTCATAAATGTTGTCTTTTATTTATGAAAGTTGTTCCATAAGCAATAATTGCTTTATAATCTGTCATTCTGTCTGTCTATATTTCTTGAACAATAAATTGCCTTGTAATCTCATCATCCGGCACTTGTTATGAGAGTATAATATTGAATTGTCGCTTGAAAGAGAGGAGAGTAAGAAAAAAAATGGTATAGGGACCATAACTGAAATAGTAATAATTTTCATTTCAGACGGTGAAAATTGTTGTTTCAAGTTCTTCCTAAAGCAACACTAGAAACAGACAATCTCAAGTTACTGTCTTTCATGGTAGAAAGATGGAATCAGCTCTGGCAGAACAAGTGGCAAAGGGTAGGAAGATCCCAGATAGCATCATTTGGATCAAATGCAGTCTGGAGGTACTCATTAACCCCATTCATTGCGTATAAAGTTGTTGATATCTGTCTTTCAACCTTCAACCGTTCGAATTCCTGAAGCTCCTGGTCAATTCCTTGAGGCAGTAGACTAGCATCTTGTGGCAACTCCAGTCCTTCGATAAATGGAATCTGATCAAGTACTGTGATGAATGGCCAGGTTTGACCGAACTGCGATGGGGCCGGTTCAAATTCCCTGATGAAATTCCTCAACTCCGGCCTATACGTGCCATCGAACATCTGGACCGAATTACATGTAAAACCATCATCCCTTGTGCTCGACAAGAAGTTATCAGTGCTACCAGTATGACTGATGGTGCCATTACTGCTAACAATAGTACTTGCTTTGATGCTGATTTTGTTGGAGTTGGTATTATTACAAGCCTCTTGCCTTAAACTCTTCTTTTGATCAAGCAGGTTCCTAATCTTTAACGAGAGACGATAATCGGTCTGAACATGAGAGGCGAAATTGGTTCGCGTATTCGAACCCCGGAGAAGGCAAGCAGCTTCATCATAAGCTCTGGCGGCTTCCTCAGCTGTCTCGAACGTCCCAAGCCACATTCTTATCTTCTGTGTCGTGTCTTTGATCTCGGCAACCCATTTCCCCGAAGGCCGCTGCCGTACACCGATGAACTTATTCCTCCTACTGGTAGTTGCAGGTCTCTCCTTCGATTTGCCCTTTAGTTGGAATTGAACTTAGTGTTGCTCCATTGGAGAGAATGCTTTTGGAGTGGAACAAAAGAGGGGGAGGGGGGGGGCTGTTTATATTAAAGGGTTTGAAGTGGTGGGAGGGTTGTCTCAACATTGTTGTCAGCATGTTTTGGGATGTTGTTTGTTCCATTGTTAGGAACTGAAATCTCAAGGCTAAGTTGACCGAATCATATGGTGATTAGGATTTTGTCAAGGCTTGACACTTGGAGAAAGTTGGCTCCCACTAAAGCAGAATGGAGTCTTTGGAAGGATCCAATAGGAAAGAAACAGCAAAGGAGTGGAATCTCAACTAGGTTGAACTAGAAAAGAATATGGCTACGTGACAGAATTATGATTACAATGTGTTGAAATATTTAATATTAATTGATTGAATGGTGTTTTAATTTTACTTTTTATACTAGTATTTAAACAACTGGATAATATTTTTAGATTTAAAAGAATTAGTACATTTAATAAAACAAACTTGCATAATCAATGACTACACCTTTGATTTAGGTTTAATCCTGACTGACCTTTATATTAAAAATCAAGCGACACTCCATTGTTAACCATAAATAAATAATGCATAAGTTAGTAAATTTTATGCGTGTATTCTATTTTGATAAATTTTAGCGTAAAGCACACAAATGATTATTGATTACAAAATATTATTTTATTAAGTCTTTTGACTATTAAAAATATAAAATGATCTTCTGACTATAGAACATTATTTTAAAAGTCTTTCGACGATCAAAAATAACAAAATGATCACCCGATTATTCATTAAGTTCTAAAGTCATCATTTTCCGTTAAAAAATTGATGGTTGTCTAAGTTAAATCATTAAGTTCCAAACCCATCGTTTCCCGCTAAAAAAATTATGATCGTCTAATCTTAACGTTAACATGATAACTGATATATTATAGTCGTTTGAGATTTTAAGGTCAAATTTTATTATATCAGTCAACAAATTAACAATTAACTCAGAATATCGTCAACTTTTTAAGAGGAAAGATCAAATTTGGAACACAATGAATAGTCAAGTGGTCATTTTATAACTTTTAATAGTCGATGAATTCAACAAAGTAACTATCTATAATCATGAAACTATTTTATAACTTTTAATAGTTGAATGACTAAATAAACCAGTATCTTATAGTCGGGGAGTCCATTTGTACACTTTACCCTATTTTAATGTTTATGTTTTTTAAAATTTTGATCTTCCAACCCAAAGGATTTAAGCACAAAATGTCTATAAATTAAGTTCTAAGAGGAAAGAAAAAGGCGAAGGTAAACACGAGCAAACCCACAACATATATTATTGTTTTTTTGTATGATCAAAATTGCAAACATAATGAAAGAATTACAAATTCAAATCGGGAAATCTTTGTAAAACTGAAACCAAGAAACACACGAGACCAAAACTGCTTCAAGAATAGTCTTCTCAAATCTTATGCTACCCACACCAAATAATCAATCGCTTCTTCTTTTCTTTTTTTCCCCTAGACTCGATACCTGTACCCATATTATAAATAGATACCTTACACTATACACATTCCATAATTAAATTAAATAAATAGCGGCAAGAGTTCATTTCGATCATCACACCTTCATCGCTGCCTTGGGGATAAAAACATCACGCAAAAACCAAGGGAAAAGAATTTTGTATGATAATATGCTTCACATGCAAGACAGATGCCTGTCGAGCCTATTTACTTGAACTATGCGGAGAGGATGGATTGCAAAGCGAGCTGTTGTTGCGGCTGCAAAGATGACCAAGTTGACGCCAATGCTTCCGGTGGCAAAGTCTGCTGAAGCTGTTTCAGTAGATTCGCCATCCGACTTGCTGTTTGTTCTGTGGTTTAATCCTTTCCACATAAAACCTACAATATAGTATATAGTTCATCAAATGCACCACAAATACCGAACAACCAGATAAATAAGAACAGATGGGTAGCACAACAGAAAATTTTCATTTTTAAGTGCACTGTTGTTCGAGCATGCCATTCAAATATGAGCCTTTAGGATTTTGATAAAGCAACTTAAATTTTTTACCTCAGCAAATACCGCAACAATCTTAGGAAGGGAATTATGGTTGGGACCCAAAACTTCATTGTCGGACCTGAACATACCCACATTTTCAAATAATGGACAGCGAAAGGGCATTGTGGAAAAAAATGAATTACTTAAATGAGATCAGTACAGTTAGAAGCTGATTTTACCTCTCGACCATTGAACAAAGTTGTTCATGAACGACTTTGGCTTCAATCAGATCACCTTTTATTGGCAAGCAATTTAACCATGCAGGAACAACCTACCAAATACAGAGAGTAGTATGTCAAGGCAAACCAATATTAAGAAAACAGAAATGAAGCATTAAAATAGGCTATATGACATAAGCAACCAGTTACTTTAGTGAAAAATGCAAAGCAGATTGAAAGTTGTAAACACAGTTCTACTGAAATTGATCTGAAGTTGTAGAATATCCATATGTAATAGTAATAGAGATGATCCACAAGCAAACCTCACCAGTTACGCTCACGGGTTTCTTTCATTGGTTTGTCTGGATTCAGTTTACTCGTTAGACAAAAAAGTTTATCGTACATGTTGAGTAAATGCTTCAACAAATTATAATTTACTTGTCCATGTAATCTAATAAAAAGAAAGGCTGTGTTGAACATTTATATATCGGGCATTAGATAATCTACAAGATATACCTCTGTAATTTAAATATCACAATTCATACAAGGAAGTCTGAAAATTAAGGATAATATGTAAAATCATTGCAATGTCCGCATCCATCATACTGAGCACTGAAGGAGTTGCAGTGACAAATCACCAATATTCCTAATAACTAGTGGTTTTATAAACTAAGTTTTAGGGTTAATTTAGTGACAGCAAGAGGGAAATGTTTGTCAGTGTTATTGATACTTTAAAAAATGATTGCATGAACATGTCAAGAAACCCTTAAATTTATTTAAGCAGTCACCAAACAAAACCAAAGAGGGGAGAAAAGAATGTGATTATCAATATCACCAAGATTCTCCTCTAAACTAACTAGAATAGCAGATAATTCAGCTATAGTTTCAAGCACAATGATAGAGAACAGTGTATGAACCCAAACTGGCACTATTTCTATTTTTGTGCTTACATCTCATGTTACTGGTGTTAACAAGATGCATTTGGAGACGTCAAACAATAGCTCATAAATACATATTTGTTTTAATGCACACAACGGATGTTCATTTCATATCGAAAGGTCTAATTAACTTGGAAAGCTAACTTTATTGCCTGCAATACCTGAGTTGCATCAATACTGTTGCGATGGAACAGACATATTTTTCCTAAAGCGGAAACAGCATTATCATAAGCCATAACGTTTTCAGGTAGCAAAGCATTTGGATGTCCTATTACAGCATTTAACCTTGATAAAGCCTCTGGAAGAAGTCACAAATAATACGTTATTCTTGCAAGAATTAATCTCCTTATAGACGATCATGCAAAAATTTACCTCCAACAATTGGCTTAAATACGGGTCCACCAAATTCTGCACAAACACCAAGTCCATATACTGCTGCCTGAACATAAAATCCTAAAATTTATTACAATCTCAACAATCTATGGTGCTTTGGATGCCAGAACAAGAAAATACAGACCTGTCGCACATCTGGGGTCTCATCATTGCAAGCCTCCAACATGAAAGGAAGATATGTGTCATAATATCTGTTTCAAAAACATTACAGCAATTACATCAAATGATACTCTATGATGATAACTAACATAAGAAAACTAGGCAATCTACTTTAGAGCTGCTTCACGACACTGTTCCACAACATCATCAAAAACACAAATCGCAACCCTTCTTTCTTCAGCTGTCTTATCTTTACCCTGTATTTTAGACCCAAAAAAAGAGAAATATGTATGAGCATACTTCAGGAAAGAACATTTTTATTCTGGATGTTCCTTGACAACTGATTTTGGAAACAGAGACAGCTTTCTCAGAACTTACCCACATAGGTGTAAGATATGAAGATAGCTCGTCAAAGAAAGGCAAGAAAGAGACTTTAAACGTTTTGATCAAAGTTCCCAAGATTTCACCCATCTGGAAGAAGAAAATGCTCGTTAAGGAAAGAAATAGGAGGCTTTAATGGATCAGGACAGGAAAAATATCATATAAGAAAATATTGTTCAGCATTAATGTGCTGTATCAATCAGAGATTTTATTTTTAAGAGTTACTTGGTAAAAATCTTCTTCCTCTTGTTCATTTTCTTCTTTAGTCAACTCTCCCTCCTCAGCATCAAAGTCTTCAGCTTTGGCTCTTTCAGCTCTCTCACTTTTTCTGGTCGCACTAGCTGTGATTGCTTGTTTTATCTCATCCACAATAGATCTAACCTGACTTTCATCTAGAAGAGGACCAGAGATCTTAAAGAAGAAATCCTCAGACATTGGGAATAAAAGACAAAGGTCATGAATGAAACACTGATACTTTTTCGAGAACTTGTCTCATATATGAACTAAAAGAATAAAAACAAGAGATCAGAAACAACCCAGGAGAATACAAGGGAGCAGTTTTAACAGACACGGCAGGTTTAATTCAGTAATTAGTTCAAATTATTAGCTAATATTAAAATAACATATTGAGTTCAAGTAAGCATTCTAATTTTTATTTGTTTGTTTAAATATTTTTGCTACTAACCATCTGTTGCCCAATAAAATTCATCCAAAGCAGAATAGACAAAACAAAATTAACTTCATTTAAAAATAGTACAAACCTGAACACATTCATTCAATGCATCTGGCATGGATTTAAATAGCGCTCTCGGACGTAACGGATGTTATTACGATTATTGCGATTGTCACGGTCGTGAATTTTTTAAAATTTCACACAATTTATCCTAAAACATAATAATTATAATTATAAAATCATTTTTAATGATTTTTAGAATATTTTCTAAATAAAAATGACACACACACATATATATATATATATATATATTAGTTTAACCAAATAGGAAACATTAAAACTCGATAATAGGATAAGATAAAAATTTGTAGACATCTATTTTCTTAAAATATAGAACTAGCAAGAGTTCATCTCCTAAGAGGACTCTTCCACTACCATATCTTTTAAAGCAACAACCACACCAACAAACGTGCAACAACCGAGCAAGAAGTTTAATGGCATTAGGATACTATTGTTAATAGGATTCTAAAAATAGTTAGTTTTTTTCACTATAAATACATATAATCATCCCCTTTGTAACACGGATTTACATACAAGATATAGAGGAAAGCACGAAAAAATACAAAGGAAAGTTATTGTAAACGATTTGAAAATGAAATAAAAGGTAGCATTTTTTTACATTGAATCGTTCATTTCTCGCATGTGCATATTATTTTTCTTAAGATTTGGTTCGAATAACCCAAAATGTGGGTTGCGCCGATGACCAAAAAGGTGTGGGATTTCAAAGTTTCAAACCTAGATCTACTCCCGAGGCATGTTCATTTTTTTAAAAGTATTTAATATTCCCCCTAAGTTAATCTTAATCTTTAATTTACTTTGAAATTTACCCTTTAATTTTATTTTTATATTAATTTGGTCTCCTATATATATTTTTTTAATTATATTTTTATTTATTTACTATATTCCTCTTTTTTTATTTATTTATATTATATTATTTTTATTATATATATCTTATATATATATATATATATATATATATATATATATGTGTGTGTATAGATGTATTAATTTTTCTCCATTTGCTATGTATATATATTTTTTCTTAATATTATATTTTATACGTTTTTATATATATTTTTTCTTAATATTCTATTTTTATTTTTATTTATTTATATATATATATTATATTTTTACTTTATTTTACTTTTTTTTATGTTTTTCTTAATATCATATATATCTTTATTTTTTTATTTGTTTTACTTAGTATTATATATTTATTATTTTTATTTGTTTTAGTAAATACTACTTTATAGTACACATTATTTTTATTCTTTTTTAATTTCTTTTACCTTTTTTTACTCCATTAATTTTTTTCCCTTTATCTGTGTCTTTTTTTAACATTTTATTCATTTTGTTTATTTTTATTATTATTTTTTTACGTGTTTTGTTATTTTTCATTTTTTCTTGTTTTATTTATTATTCTCATGTTTGCACACTTGCTATCCTAATTCGATTTTATACTCCGCTACGAATCTAAAGTTTTTATCTTTTAAGAGTATTCAAATCAATCAATTGTAAGTAATTTAAATCGGGTCTGTTAAATTTTAATTTTAATTTTGAATTTTCACAACTAAGACAACCGGCAAATTAATTGGTACCGAAAGGGCGGTTCAAGGGTGCTAATCCTTCCTTGACCGTAACCGACTCCCGAACCCGACACATTTCTGGTAAAAACTCAGATCAGGTAAGATGGTGTCCGACCCACCTAAATTCGTTTTAAAATGGTCGGTGGTGACTCCAATCCACATTTTTCAAGTCGAAGCCCAATTCCGGGGCTCAACCGAAAGACGGTTACGACAGCTTGGCGACTCCGCTGGGACAGGTAAGTGAGTCAGGCCAAATTAATTTTCGGTTGTCTTTTTTTAGCGCAAATTACAAGTTTAAATTTTAATTTTTTTATTCGATTTCAATTATTTATCTTTGATTTTTTTTCAAGTAAATAGTTGTACTGACGTTTTTTCAATGATTTCAGATTTTTGAAAAAGTTTCCATCTCTGACTCTATACCCGAGCTCCGAACCCTTTTAAATGGGGGTGAAAGCGTTGCCATCGTGTGAATTTATTCACTGTATGGGCCTAGCAAGTAACCTTCGGGATTCATATACCTTATGTCTTCGTGTGAATTTATTCACCGTGTGGGCATAAGGGAATGTTTCCTCACGAGTTTAACTTAGTCCACATAAGCTTGTAATGAGCTTAGGACTAAGGGTCTAGTAAGCCCAAGGGGGCACCGGCAAGGAGAACTTGGGTCCCGTTTTTTTAGAACCTAAATCGGGAGGCTATGGAGAATTAGAGCCTACCCCAAAACCTCATTCCAAACCCTAGGCTACTTTGTTTCATGCTTTACTTTCTGTTCAAAGCATGCGAACTAAACAAATATGCGGTTAGGATTTGTGTGGAATTAGCATGCGGGATAGAAATCATGTCCGGGTAGGAATTAAAGCATGTGGGGTAGATATCATGTGGGGTAGGACCTTTTATTTTCATTATTATTATCTTTACCTTACTAACTCTTTTCAATTTTTCTCTCTTTTATTTTATTTCCATCATCTGCATCATTCAAAAGAGGTGTTGATCCACACAAAAAAACATGTTCGTTAACCATAAATAATTTGCATTAATGGACAAAGGGGTTGTAATACAAGAGATGAAAAACGCAGGGGTCCGGCTATGGTTAGAAAAAACTCAGAAAGAAAATGAGGACAATTTGCAAAGACAACTATATGTCACATTCGATCAAGAAGACATGGTGCCCACAATCAAGTACATCAAAAGTTAACTTTTCAAAAATGGGTTGACAAAGGTGGCAGGGGCAAGACGAGAAAAAGGTTACTGACCTCGAGAGTCCATTCAAAGACAACAAGAACAAGATGGCAAGTCACCGTCGACAAATTCAAGAAACAAGCAAATGAACTTCGGATAATCCCTTTGATTGAGGATTTCAATGGAATTTCCGATTCAGCAAAGGATGAAAGCCAGAGATACAATCATTCGACACTTTTTGGGAACCAGTACAAAAAAACAACTCAACATTTTCACGGTTCATCCAGAGAGGCAGGAGTGGTTCAACAAGTTATTCAACCGGTGAAAGACGAAGGCAAATGACTAGTCAACCTGTTCCGGGACTAGAGGATTTAGTCCGGATGTACCTTTAAATATGTTTATTGTCTCTTAAAAGATAAAACACTTTTGTCCAAATAAAGGTTATTTACAATAACAGACATGTTTTTGGATCAATGCCTCGAACATTTCATGCATTTTTGCATTTTGCATCTACATTTCATTTTTAAGCATTTTCATAAACATGAAATTTCTTCATAGAGAATTCAATGAAGTGGTTTTAACCACATAACACCACATGAAAGCAAGATTGTAACATCAAAAGAAAAAACTGAAATCATAACGAATGAGCTCGATCAGCTGGTTGTACGACTAAGCCTGCCAAGATGATCTGAGAAAATAGTCCACATATCCTAAGGGCTACGATGTTGAAGCTGTTTGCAGTTGCCACATAGGATGCTTCAAACATTTCTTTGAGAACTATAAGGCGCTGAAGCGCGAGATCCAAAACCTGATGGGTTCAGGTGCACGGAGCCGAAGAAGGGGGAATTGCATATACCATTTGCACCTAGAGGATTGTTTTGTTTGAACACGTCTTTGATCTTTTGCTTAATCTTTTAAACGATTGAATTTATGTTACTTTCTAAGGTAGAGCAATTGAACAAATTTTAATATTTAGTTTTTCGAATATTAAATGAATTAAGGATTCTTTTAATTCTTCTAGAATTATGGATTTTTGACACATGACAAGGTTAGACCTTTCTTATCCTGTCTTAAACCCCAAAATAAAATACCTTGATTCTTTACCCAAAATAACTCATGGCCATTACCAAAAAGACCAAATTTTGACATTACCTCCCTTTGAAATTTTTTAACAATGCCTTTATCTTTTTGATACATCCATACCTTTCTTTGAGTTAATAAAGTCACATCATTTTCTTTTTAGACTTAAAATTGACATTTTATGCCATCAAAACCCAAGGCATTGAGTTGTTCATTTGAACATGAGCATTTTTCTAAGACACAACTTGGGGCATCTCGCAGGGAGCCTGAACATTGAGACATGTCGGGGGCAAGAAGCAGAAAAAAGAATTCAGTTAAAATAATTCTACGATGTATTAATTACATTGTTTTCCTATGAATAAAATTAATCCTGAAAATCTATCCCCTTGGGGATACCTCTTCTGTGAAAGCTTCTATGTATGAAATGATGAACGACTTTCTTTTCTTTACCCCTTCACAACATGAGAAAATATATATCCCTTGTGTCCCCTTTTGAGCCTATAGTATTTTTCTTCTGATTCAACCCTAACCAATGATCACCCTCCACACTGGGGGGCAAGGTGGAGAAAATCTGCTTGCATGAGTGAAGACATTGATTCAGATGAGATACCAAAAGGTGAACCAAATGCCAAGTGCGAAGATTCAATCAGAACAAAAAGAGAAAAAAAGAAGAGAAAAATCAAAGAGAAAAAAAACAAAGGAAAATTGAAAAAAAGAAGAAGACAATATGCATATGCAAAGATTCTCTTGATTCAAACGACACATCGAGATTCAAACTATGAGATTGATCAAGCACAATCATTTCTGAATTACTGAATCACTTCACTCGAAGATCATAGAGCATCAAATGAGATTGATCGAGCACAATCATTTCTGAATCACTCTACTGGAAGATCATAGAGCATCAAGAGAGAGACATATACGAGTATATTCAAATTGAGCAAGATATGATTGAAGACATCAGAATGAATTGATCCTTGGTTCAATCACCCTTAAACACTTGTTTGTGCCTTTTATCCCTTTCTTTCATAACCATGAACCATGACCTACGTTATGTGCCTTAAAATTCCCTTCTAATCATACATGAAGTTCTGAACAGAAGAGTCTATCTTCATATTTCATCCCGCCCATCAGAATTAATCTTTATTTGCAAAAAATAATGTAATTAATGCATGATAGAAAAAAATAACAAAGGGGGTTCAAGACGTAAA